TTAAGGTACATTCATGAGCCAGGTAATACCTAGGTGCTGATAACAAAATAGTTCATAGCTTTAGGGCTCATTCTGCTCAGATGTGTATTTGATCCAGTGTAAAATACAGCCAAGAAAAGTCATTCATAATGTGATGAAGGTTCTCATGGGTGAGGGTCAGGGGTAGTACCAGCTGCTGGGATGTGTTGGAGGAAACCTACTCCAGCCTTGGGACCCAGGGTTGAGGTAGACTTTCTTTGTGACATCTAAGGCAGATGGTATGCATGAGCATGTATGTGTGTGCATTTAGTGGACAGGAGGAGTAGGGACCAGAATGAGAACTTCCTAGGTGAACAGAATAGGATATTGGGCAACTTGAAAGAAGTTTAATGGCTCATCTGAAAAGACATAAGCGAGGAATTCAGACTCAAATGTCACAGGAGAGCTACAGGAACTAGGTCATGTCAGGTCTTACAAGGCTCTTTAAAAAGTTTTGACTTTATCCTTACAGCAAGGAGAAGCTATTAATAAGGAGAATGGATCACAACTGCATTTTTAAAAAAATACTCTAACTGCAGTGTGGAGACTGGATTAGTGGATGCAGACTTGAAGTAGGGGGGCCAGTTAGAAGGCTGTTAGTAATAATCCAGGTGAGAGATGATGGTGATCTTGACCTAAGAAGTGCTAAAGAGGATAGAAGAAATAAATTTGAGAGATCATAGAGGTGTAGCATTGACAACTGTTAGAGCCTGATTGATTGAGGGGCTTGAAGAAGGGAAGAAATGAAGAAAGATATTCAGGTTTCTGTCTTAGGCTGCTGGTGGACAGAAGAGCCAGTCACTGAAGGAAGCAGGAATGGTGTGACGATAACTTACTTCCTTTGGGACTCATAGAACTGTTTTGATGATTAAGTGAAATAGTTTATATAATAGCAACTATCACAATGCCTAGTGCCTTATAGCTCTTTTCTGTAGTTATTTTCATTCTATTTTCCTCATTTCCAAAGTTGTACCAGTCATTTAGTAGCAAAATTGGGAATAGAATTCCAGGCTTCTGTTTACCAGTCCAGAGTTCTTTGTTAATGGACTGCTGGTCTATAAACAAAGATGAAACACAGGGATTTTAAAGCAAATATTCAGAACATATCCTGGAATTGCTTACTAGCTGACAGCTATCCAACTTATTTTTAGTTTATATTTAAAGTGAATCATATGTTCCAAAATGACTGACAGAAACACAGCTTTGTTTCTGAAGCCAATTCTACTCCATCATTTTTGGACATCATTCAGAGCTGTAACAGACTTTCAGGGTGTTTAAAAGCATTCATCCACGACAACAACAAATGCTAATTATCATAAAAAATAAACAGCTCCTGTTAACATCATTCTAAGAATTTCTCCTACTCTAGCACTATATTTCATCTATCATCCCATCTGTTTTGGGGGTGGGAACAAAGACTGGATGAAAGTATAATTATCATGTATCAAACTGGACAACACAACAAAATAGAAATGAGTATAAATGGGAGGAATAGCATACATAATAAATAAATCTGGAAAGGGAAAAAAGAAATGTAAATAAAATGGCACAGTGTGTCCTGCAGTAAATAGCAGATACCTAAGTCCATTATGGAGTCAATAATGTTTATCTTGCTAAGTATGAGGTGGATTTTTCCCCATTTCAGTTCATAGTCCTTGCTATAACCAGATTTCCTCCCACATGATCAAATAGACATCTTGTTCACTTGGGAAGTTTACAAATCCTCTCTGTTGAATTCTATTATTAAAATTCCACCTTGAGACTTTTAAACATACCTGAAAAGAAAAAAAAAAAGTCTACTTCCAAATATTTATGAATACATTTGAAAAGGGAATCTTAGGGTCAGTTCTATCTTATAAAAATATCAAGAATAGACACATTCTCAAAACTTTGTTAAATTAAAAGGGACTAGGGTGCCTGGGTAGCTCAGTCAGTTAAGCATCTGCCTTTGGCTCAGGTCATGATCCTAGGGTCCTGGGATCAAGTCCTGCATCCCGCTTCCTGCTCAGCGGGGAGTCTGCTTCTCCCTCTTCCTCTGCCTCTTCCCCGGTTTGTGCTCTTTCTTGCTCAGTCTCTCTCTCAAATAAATAAATAAAATCTTCAAAAAATAAAAAATAAATAAATTAAAAGGGATTACAAGGGCTCCTGGGTGGCTCAGTTGGTTAAGCGACTGCCTTCGGCTCAGGTCATGATCCTGGAGTCCCGGGATCGAGTCCCGCATCGGGCTCCCGGCTCGGCAGGGAGTCTGCTTCTCCCTCTGACCCTCCCCCCTCTCATGCTCTCTGTCTCTCATTCTCTCTGTCTCAAATAAATCAATAAAATCTTTAAAAAAAAAAAAGGGATTACAAGTGGCCAGTTGCAGATGCAATTAGCTCATTACAAATATAGTAAAAACATGAACAATCACATATCCCTAAATAGGAATTAGAAGCTCAGCCAGGGCCATGACTTTGTTTTATTGGCATAAACACGCCTGCACTGGTCCCTGGCATGTAGTAGATGCCTTATCAATATATTTTAAATTACATATTGTATGAAAGAGAGCAATTATAAGCTTATATTCTCCTCGGAGTACTTTTAAAGTACACCTACTCTACGAATAATTTTGTAGTGACTCTTAGTATTAATATTTAAATAATCAGGTTTTAGAATCTTCCAAGTATCTATGTCACTTTCAAAGTGAGGAGTATGGCAAAGTTTCTCTTAAATAGTAACAAACTATTTTAATAAATTTAATCTGAGGTCAAGTTTCCATTAAAAGTATATATACCAGGGGCGCCTGGGTGGCTCAGTTGGTTAAGCGACTGCCTTCGGCTCAGGTCATGATCCTGGAGTCCCGGGATCGAGTCCCGCATCGGGCTCCCGGCGGAGTCTGCTTCTCCCTCTGACCCTCCCCCCTCTCATGTGCTCTCTCTCATTCTCTCTGTCTCAAATAAATAAATAAAATCTTTAAAATAAAAAAAAGTATATATACTGAATTAACTAATTACATTTATTTCTCTATTTAAATTTGCTTCAATGATATAAATGTTTAGAATATTATTTAGAGCAAAAGATCAATTACATATGAAGCTGTGCTTTACCAAATTGTGATTTTATTTTGGTCACAAATCCCATTATCTTTTTAGTCAATCACTCAAGCATTACATACATGAAATAAAAATGTCACAATACACACAAAAACAGAATAGTGAAGAAGGTGTTATATCCATAAACATTTTGAACACTTGCCAATATCTTTTCTACCATGAGGAGTTTTAAGATAATAAGAAATAAATATAAATATCACATGTACAACATACACCTATATGCATTCATATGTGTGTATATACTATGTGTGTATGCATGTATATATGAAAATATGTGATATTTGGACAACATTCAACTGAATTAAATCAGAGGGATTAGGGAAGTAAATAACCCATGAATTCACAATGTGGGTGTGTTCATATTTACACAGTTCTGTATATGACCACTCATAAAGAGTTATGGACCAATTTGTAACTGAGGATTCCCTGGACCATCACATTATAACACCCCCGAAAAGCCATTACCATTTATAACCTGACACAGAGAACTTTATCAATGACAGAAAAGTAATGATTTGGGAGTAAAACATCATACAACAAACTTAATAAGTCTTATTTGAGTTAAAAGACACATCAAAGGTACTTACTAAGTTATTTTTTAAGGGCTTTTATTTATATTTCTAAGTTAAAATTATTTATGAACATTTCATTTTTTTAAAATCAGAAAAGTGAAATTACTCTATTAATGTGTATTGAAACTCACTCTTTCTTAGCCTAATGAAAATCTTTTTCAAATTATAATCATTATAACCATATACTATATATTTACTATATATTATAACTATATACTATAACTCCCTGTTCCCTTGTCCTCCTGGGAGAATTCCTATCTGTCTATTTGGTCAATTTTATGGGTAAAAGGACTAATTCCTGCACATAGTTCTAAATCTTGCATGCATGAACAAAGTGTGCTACTAGATTACTTTGGGAGAATTTAAATTCAAATGAATTTCAATTTTTGTCTAAACATGAAGGTATAGTGAAATGTCTTAGAATAAAATATTATTTTCACATTCTGTTTTAAAGAGCACTATTTGGACCATTGATAAACATCTTAATGCAAAATTCTTATCACTATATAATAACCAAAATAGTATGAACAACTTCTACCAATGTAACTGCCAAGGAAAATAAATACTTTATTTTTAATGTTTACTTTCATATATTTATCTATGAGACTTGTTTTTAATTCAAAACAACCATTTATATATAAAAATAATAACATACATTAAAACAAGAAAGCACAACCTCTATCCAGCAAAAATTCATTAAAATATTCATCAAAGACACTATAATAAATACCACTTAGAAAACTCTATTTTCCAAGTCCCTAAACTGTGTCTACACATAAATAGTTCTAAAAGCTTTGAGTATTTTAAAATTTTCAAATTTGAGAAATTTGAGAAAAAAAATTTTTTAAACTTTAACATGCTATACAGATATAAAAATTATTATTTTTCATACACACTTTTTTGCACATAAATACCAGAGAAAACGTTAAGGCAAAATCCTGAATTTCTTGATAAGTTTCACTAATGGACAATCATAAGAATTTACTTTGGGAAACTATCCTGAACCTAACGGAAGGGTTCTTTGAATAAATATTTCAATATTATATTCCATGCTATCTTTATCCTTCATCCAATATTATAGTTCACGCTAACTGATCCTTCACAGGAAAGAAAAGTGCTTATCTCACAAATACAGAGAGAAAGTATGTGATTTAGCTGTTCTTTGGATGTGTGAAATTAGTGTTGATGTTTGATTCCAAATGTCTTTCCATTCCTTACCTTAATTTAAAAAACCAAATGAGAACAAGTAAGAATCTTGAATAAGTCTCAGAACATCACGCGTATTTAAAGCATAGCCCTGAAGGCTACTGATTTTTCTTACCAGTGCTGTCATCATATACAACCGTGACGGTTTTCCACTTGAAGAACTGCACCAAATCCAAAATGGCACGGCTGAGGGAAGAGAAGTCTGGGTAAAGACTGACATAGAAGGAATCTTTGTTGTCTGACACCTGGTGCTTCCAGCGGGTCTGTATGTGGGGAACCCCCAGAGCATTGCAGATGGACTGCACAGCATTTGCTGAAGAGCTGTGTGAGGGCCCGAAGATGGCAGCTACCCCAAGAGACAGCTGATCGCAGGCTGAAGAGGAGACAGAAGTCTGTCAGTAATGAGGAGAGATGCCAGCTTGCCAACATTATCACATTATTATTGTAAGCCTAAAGGTTTATCCTGAAGAAAGATTTTGTTTTCCTTACAAATCACATCTACATTTAGATAATTTTCTTTCTTTTTTTTTTTTTTTTAAAGATTTTATTCATTTATTTGACAGAGAGAGAGAGAACAAGTAGGCAGAGAGGCAGGCAGAGGGAGAGGGAGAAGCAG